AAACGATATTAATTTGTCTAAGTATAAACAATATAAAAATCTATTTGAAAAAATAAAATTAAAATCCAAAAAAATATATTTTTCAAAGCAAATACAAAAATTTAAAGGAGATAATAAAAAAATCTGGGATATTATAAAGGAAATAATTGGTAAAGATAAAAAAAACTCGAACCAACTACCTCCAAAAGTTCTCATAAGTGAAAAAGAGTTTAATAATAAAAAAATTATCTCTGAAAAATTTAACAAATACTTTGCAAGAATAGGTTCCAAACTCGTCTCTAAAATTCAACCTACAAACAATTCATTTGAGAATTACATCGAGGACTCTCGTTGCTCCCTAGTTTTTAAAGAACTAGAATACGAAGAACTTGAAACAGCAATTAAAACATTAAAAATTAACAAAGGTCCAGATATCGGCAATATCCCAGCCAATATAATTTTGAATGTCTTCCCAGATATAAGTAAACCCATTTTTCAAATATTTAACTCTTCAATAATTACAGGAATTGTACCCGACTATTTAAAAATAGCTAAAATTATTCCTATCTATAAATCCGGAGATACATCCTCCTTAAATAATTACAGACCAATATCAATCCTTCCCGTATTTTCAAAACTGCTCGAACGAATAATCTACAATCGTTTATATAAATACCTAACCATAAACAAAATCCTGAATGAAAACCAATATGGTTTTTAAACTCAACACTTGACAGAGCATGTTATCGTAGACATCGTCAATAGGATTAGTGAATCATTCTATGAAAAGAAGTTCGTATTAGGAGTCTTTGTAGACTTGTCAAAAGCGTTCGACACAATAGATCATGAAATCCTACTAAAAAAGTTGGAAAAATACGGAATAAAAAACCATACACTGCAGTGGTTTAAAAGTTACCTGTATAACAGACAACAGTGTGTTATTACAGATGATAATTACCACAGTAAATTATTAAAATTAACTTGCGGTGTTCCTCAAGGCTCGATTCTTGCTCCTCTTTTGTTCCTAATCTATATAAACGACCTTCCAAAAGTTTCTAGCAAACTTGAATTTATAATGTTTGCAGACGATACAAATTTATTTTACTCTTCGACAAACATCAAGGATCTGTACGATAATGTAAACATAGAGCTCCAAAAATTAAATATATGGTTTAAAACAAATAAGTTATCCCTAAACATAAAAAAAACAAAATACACTTTATTTCATTCAAACCAACAAAGAAAGACACAACCAAATACTCTACCCTCTCTAAAAATAGAAAACATAGTAATTGAGAGAACTCACGAAATTAAATTTTTAGGAGTTATAACTGATGAAAATTTATCTTGGAAAGCTCACATAAATGCTTTAAACACTAAAATATCAAAAAACATAGGTCTACTTTATAAAGCAAAACCTATGCTGTCGCAAAGTAATTTAAAACTTATATATTTCTCTTTTATACATAGCTACCTCATATATGCAAGTATAGCTTGGGCGAGTACGCATATAACCAAATTGAAAACTTTATATCGACGTCAAAAACATGCTGTAAGACTAATCTACCATAAAGACAAATTTACACACACTGAACCCTTATTTAAAAAAATGAATGCGCTTAATATTTATCAAATTAACATTTACCAAAATATATTGTTTATACTAAAATTTAAATTAGGTCAAGTACCAAACCATTTTTTAAATAAATTTTTTATAAATAACGTTAATAAATATAACACAAGAGAAAAAGGAAACTTTATTACACCTTTCAAAAAAACAAAACTTTCCCAGTTCTCAATTTCATATCGGGGTCCTTATTTATACAACAAACTAGTAACTAAAAATAAATCAATTTGCAATCTAGATAATCAAAATTCCTTGAAAAAAAAGTTAAAAAATCTGTTACTGAATCTAAACAGATACTCAGAATTCTTCTAAGACTATAAATTAAAATACATATATATCAACTACAAAATGAACTGACTCGTTTATGTGTATTATCTAAATGACTCTTACCTTTCTCAAACAATATATCAAAAATTGTTAATTACACACAAAAAAAACACTTGATTTTTTCTTATCAATTTTAGTTATTATGCTGCTTCTTATATCTAATATTTTATACTGAGCTTATTTTGAGTTTATTTTTTATTATGAGCTTAATTTAAAGAATATAAAAATATAGTTGTACTTAATATATAATTTTATTAAACATAATCATAATATATATCAAACACATTGTAAGGGCTTCGTGATAAGATCATTACGATCTTCTTGAAGTCCGGCCTGTACTATTTAATTATAAATTTCACTATATATTTTGACTCACGAGACTTGTAAATATTACAACTTTTAATTTACGAAACTTGTAAATGTTATATGTACGGCAAATATAGGAATAAAAAAAAAAAATAAAAAAAAATATTATTACTTTTAAGAATTCAAAAAGCCAAACTTATTGCAAACAGCCGTTTACGCACTTAAGTTTACTATCTAAGTAATCTAATATTGTTACAAATAAATGAATCTTAAAACGCATTTGTGGTGAGAATAAAGCCTCATCTGCCAGCCCATCATGAAGCATCATCCATGAATTACGTCAGCGAATTCAATGAATAGCTTTTCTTATAAACTAAGTTGTTTGTTTGTTTTTTTTTCCCTTGTCTTTAAAATTGTTAAATGATTTGCACAGTGACGCAACATACTCTCTTTAAGAGTTAAGGAGCATGACTGGAAAGTGTAAATCAATGCTTGTATTTGTGGAGAGTGTAAATCTATGCTGGTACTTGTGGAGAGTGTCAATCTATGCTGGTACTTGTGGAGAGTGTAAATTTATGCTTGTACTTGTGGAGAATGTAAATCTATGCTTGCACTTGTGAAGAGGGTACTTGTGGAGAGTGTCAATCTATGCTGGTACTTTGCAATCGTTTTTGAAGTTTTATGAAATCTTTTTAACACAACAGACCACAACTCGAGGAATATCTTGTTTTATAACAAACATATTTTTATTACAATTCCATTAGCATCAAATCTAGTTTTTGGATTCTCGTCCTTATCTTCTAAAAGTCGTAGTTAAAGAATTTATTTTTTGGAAACTCAGTTTCAAAGATTTTTAATGAATTTATTATATTGTAATTGTATTGAATTGTTATTCAATGAATTACTCCGTGTTTTATTCAATTAGTGACTAAAATACGTAATCTATTCAGTAGAAAGATTTGTCTCTCGAATCGTCATGTTGCCAGTATTTTTACATGAATTAATACTTTCAAAGTTGTTGATGAGAGATATGAAACAGATCTTCTGTCTTTTGCAACATATTTATCAATACGAGTTGCGAAAAATGGATCAAATTTTGCCAATAGTTCAAACATTCCCATGAAGTTTGAGTAGACTCAATCTAAATCTCATCATGTCCACAGATGGTCAGACCGTGTTCAACAATTATTTTATATAGCAACAACTCTTTGTAAAACCGAACTTTTGTGCTTGCACTATGCTTTTAATTTTTATGCAGCTAAAGTATCAATCCTGTCTTTGATTTGTACACATTTATTTTAAACAAGAATGGCTTCAATGTTACTTTTACTGTGCTCAAGTTGTGAAAAACTCGCAGTATCATTTTTCCAGGCAAAAAAAATAATCTACTGAGAATTAATTTTCCTTGGGAAGGAAAAGTTTACATGGAAAAAAATTACTTCGATTAGTAGCAGAAGAATAATAAAGCCATGATTGTACACTTTTTCATCATTTGATAGTAATAGTTTAAAGTATGACTGTTTGAACAATTTTATCTATTTGCCGCTCGTTTTTACAGAGTTGGAAAAGTCATGATGTTTGAAATTTTAAGTTCAAGCTCATTACTTAGCAGCTTGTCAGGTTGAAATTTAAATTGCATCTAAATTAAAAACAGCAGATGTAATAGAAGTAGGAAAAAAAAAATTCAGCTTTAAAATCCTTTTTGTTTTGCTGCTGCCGTTCATTTCTCTCTCTCTTCTTTCTCCTCCTCTTTCTCTCTTTAATATTTACCGGCTCATGATGATATGACACATTTTTCTAAGATACTTAAAAAATAAAAAAATAACTTTTAAGAAAATTACAGTAAAATTAGTTCATTTTAAATTATTTTTATGAACTGTAGATGTTAATGAATTGTGAAAATAAACACAAATTTGCAAACTATAGATAAGTTTATTGATGTTCTTGTCTTAAATCGTAACTTTTTTTAACGCATAGTAGTATGCAATAATATTGGTTATGAATTTTTAATATTATAGTTTATAATAAATACTAATTTGAAATTAAATTAGAAGCAAATAATATTTTCATAAAAACTTGATCAAACTTTTTAACTTGACAATATAACTAACTCTACTAAATAAAATACCGTGCAACAGATTATTACAGATACATTTCAACAAAAAAAGCACATTCAGAAATATCAAATATAATGTTATTATAAATACAGCAAGGTTGATGTTGTTCTGTGATTGGTCGAATAACAATTATAACAGTTTAAAAAAACTTTTGCTATTTGTTTTTGTTTACGAAATGAAATAAACAATTACGAAAAATCGCGTTTTTTTGACTTTAAGAGATTTTATATTAAAACAACGCCAAGACATAAAAAAACAAAGTTTTGATATCTTGTTACAAGATGTCAATTCTCAAAACAGCAGTACTGATATGTGTCTATGCGTGTGTATAAATTTTATCATATATCTTGTCAAGTTCAAATGTTATGATTACGCAACATTTACCCCCTATGTATATGAAATTTTTTTTTTATTAACTGAAAACATTTTATTTGCAACACCAAAAGTAAAAGTTTTTTTTTAAACTTTTTCAAGTTCATATTTCTATGAGCTGCCTTTATCCTTATATATTTTACATTATCACTACGATAGAACAAATACATTTTGAAGCTGTTCGAATGAAAACCCATTCAAAGTTGTTCAGTTTAAAAAGCTAGATAATTCGGCTGACGGTAGAATATTTTTTCAAAAATTAAGCGGTTAACAACAAACTTAAAAAAAAAAACAAAAGAACACTATTACTCTATTTTTGTTCAAATAATCTATATTTTTATTCAAACAAACAAGTACAGTTAGAAATGGATCAGATCACAGAGTCAAGAAAAGATAACACTATAAAAATAAAAGTAGTTAAAAATATCGAATAAATTATAATATTATAATAAGACCATAAAAATTTTTGAGTTGGATTTTTAATGAAAAACCTAAAGCCTTAATCTTTTTTTTAATGTTTAAATTTTTACAATAGTTTTATTTAATTGTCTTATATAAACGAAATTTAGCAAAAGTTTAGTTGGAATTTAATATGCTTAACCTGAGACAGAGTTGTATTCATAAACCAAAGTATCGAAGTAGCAGTATTACTTAGTAATAATACAATTATTTTTTAATATAAAATAACTAAACTTAAAACTTCGATTTAAGTGATTATAAACTAATAAAAATCAAAAATAAATGCATAAAAAAATAATATTAGTAATTTACTATTATTATTTATAATTATTATATGATGCTTTTGCTCTTGATTTTTTATTAGCTTATAATCACTTTTTAGTTTATTTATATTAAAAATAATTGTCTGGTAAAGTAGAACTTTTGCTTATTTCATTTTAGTTTTAAGGAAGAATTGACTACCACTAGTCGTCTATAAATATATAAGATTTTGTAACTACCTACCAAGGTGATTAAAGAAAAAACTAATACAAAATTTTATTATCCGTGTATAAACTATGGAAAAAGTATCCATCTCAACTAAAAAAAAGACTGAATTCAATTGTAAAAGATATTGATAGACTGTTTTACTTTACCTGGTATTGATAGTTGAAAGATTTTAGTGTGTAATCTGATAGACTTAACTTAAGTTGTGTTAGTATGAAACAAGATTACATGTTGTTTTTTTAATTGAGTCATACAAGTCTTTTAAATCATAAAAATTTTGATATACTTTTTACTGACTCAAGCAAATAAAGTTTTTTAAAATGTTCAAAATTCAAGTTCTCAAGCCAATTAAATAAGTTTTTATTGTGGTTATTTAATTTTATTTATTGTAGTTAATTATAGACATAATTTTTAATTGAAAGTAAAAAGATAGGTTAAATAAATAGCAAAGTAATTTTACCTTTTTGAAAAATCTCAAAAAGTAGCTTTGTTAAAGTTATATCATTATTTAGTAATATCTTTTATTTTTCCAGTTAAGTTTAATTTCTTATGGTTCATAAATTGTGTATATATATATATATATATATATATATATATATATATATATATATATATATATATATATATATATATATATATATATATATATATATACATATATATATATATATATATATATATATATATATATATATATATATATATATATATATATATATATATATATATATGTATTTATGCTTAAAATATTATTGTCTCTTTTTAGTTTTTATTTTATTCTTTTAATAAGTTTTTATACATTAGTTCTATTTGCGCTTTAGGTAAGGAAGTCATATTGTCTCTACTAGAGACACTACACCATTGTGCCAAAAATTTCTCTCTTGCTAAGTCTCATTTTTACAAATGCAATATGCATCATATATAGGGTTGCTATTGTCCTGCTTTTTCTGTAGGAGAACACAGTTAAATTTTTTTTATAATTATGTTAGCTCTGCACTCTCCTAGATAAAAACAGAGACAATGGCAACCCTTATTATATATAACATTAGTTTTAATTTCTTAAATATACCACAATTGTAAAAAAACATATGTGTATAATTTGATACAAACAAGACATTTGTACATGATACAAGTTAGTACATTAATATTCCTATCATTCTTAAAATTTTTTCCATTTGTATCATACCCAGATTGTTGTTTTTTTTAATTGTAATATGCAATCTTTATTTATATTCTTTGGGCTTCTTCAACTTTAACCTAGTTTATAATCAGTTATCACTCAATTATCATTCAGTTATCTCTCAGTTATCTTAAAGTTTTTATTCAGTTATCTCTTGATTATCTCTGAGTTATCCATTCAGTTATCTCTCGATTATCTCTTAGTTATCTCTCAGTTATCATTCAGTTATAAATTAATTATCTCTCAGTTCAGTTACCACATTTAGTTATCAATAAGCACTAAAATTGATAAAGTTTATTTTTCTTATTTGAAGAATTATTTCAGATTTTCTTTCCCCTTTCTTCGCCCAAAAGAAACTTCAGTGGCCTATATAACTCAACCTAATTTTGAAATTTCATATATTGTAGAATATGATGTTTTCAATTTTCAACCAACAACTTTTGATTTTTATGTTTACACCTAATTAAAACATGTACTACTAATTTTCCAACCTACTAAATCGTTGACCTACTGTGTTTTTGACCTACTGAATTTCCATCCTACTGAATATTTAACCTTCTGTATTTTCAATTTTATAACTACGTTTTTCCGGTGTGTATTTTGTATATTTTGTTGTTGATTTGAATACAAGCTAAATTTGATCAGCCTTGGCGCAGTGGTGAAAGCGCTGTCTTCAGAATGTGGAGGTTTGATGAATTCTTGAAAAATTTAGGCAAAAAATGAGCTCAATTAAACAATATTTAGGGGTAGCTCAAACAATTTGAAATTTTTACTTATACGAACTTACAGTGTTTTTAGCTAAAAACACCACATTTGTTTTGGTTTCAAAAAGCAAATCGTAAAAAAAATCAATCTGAACTACTATAACTACAGACTCTTAATAATAGAAACTTTTAAAAAATACTAGAATAGATGACATAATTAGAGTAAATTTATTTTGAAGTAAAGTGAATTTATTTGCTTAAGGAAAGTTTGCCCGGTTTTCTTTAATAACTTGAAGAGCATACTGCAGCTGCTCTTCGCTTTTGAATTGACCAGACTTTACTGCATCCTGGATCAGAGCGACCACTCTTTCTGCATGGTTGTTGGTTACTGCTTTGAATTTCACAACTTATCTCTGCAGCCTTGAAGTCATCTTGGTTGTTCCATATTTCTGCATCTTCAGCTAGGAATGTATCTGGCATGCCCAGAGTTGCAAATATGTTCCTATTCTTATTAGAAATAAAATCAAAAAATTTTCTGTTGTTGTACCATAGCCAAATCTACATGGACACGTTTAAAGGGTTCTTCTCCGTCTTTTTCTGACGATCCTTTAACAAATTAATGCTTTGTGTTAAAATCCACCTTGGGATTGCAGAGACAAAAGAGAATCAAGTCCTCCGATAGATACCAAAAGTGTCTCGAAAGCTTTTATGATGCTCCAATTTCCTAATCAGGATAGTCATAAAGTAATTAAAGAAGTTGCAAATCATTCCTGGCTGCTTTGGAAGCCCGAAGAAAAAAGCCAAACTTTGATGCTGCAGATGGTTTTTGCCATCCAACAAGCTTGATGTATTGGACCAGATGCTCGGAAATTCTTCCTTTCAGGTGGCTACTTAAAATAAATCAGCATCTTATTGAAAATTTCTTGCAGCTGATGTTCACAGAAAAGTTCATTTCATCTTTGGTATCAGAGAGTTCAGCTAAGGTGACATTGTTTAAGAAAGCATATTCATAACTGTCTTGATCAATGAATCAATGTCCACTGTGCTTAAAATTGTTTGAAGATGAGAATTTCCGTAGCTATACTTACGTCCTATACACACACCAAAAGCAGCTTCCAATAAGAGTTCCAGGATGTGATGGCAACAACCAAAGTGGAGTAGAGGCTGCCCAGTTGCTGTTCAAGAAGGAAGCAAGCACCATGCAATCAACCAGTGTTGGGGCTTGTTGTATGGAAACGCATACTACAGACTAATTCTCAGCTCCCATTTTTGTAAGGCATTATGTACCAATTGTGTCTTTGGTTGACCAGTACCTACAAAGTATACAAAGTAAAAATCTCCAACAAATTATATATTATATAATGTATAAAAACATGTTTATTTGTTCTAGGAATTTTTGCTGCAGAAATTTTTGGATTATCCAAAAGCTTTATACACCCCATTGTTGAAACAAGAATTGGTAACCTGTCGAGCTTTTCCGTTCCAGTCAGATCATTCCTCAGTTTGCCGTACCAGTGCACTGTGAGAGCCGTGTTAAGCTTAAAATCTTTAGTTATTCTGGAGATGGCTTCCTGTCTGTGTCTTCGATGATTGCAATGGATGGTTGATCTATTCAGAGCAAGTGATTCAATGTCATTTCCTTGAGCCTTTGAAGTCTTGAATACAACTTTCATGACAGCTCAGTGGCTTAGTCTATTTTGATTAGGCATTGCTGTCATTTGTGGCGGGCGCCAGTTCTATTTGGTGTCCTTGTTTGTTTAGTGGTAGAGTAACTATACTAAATGTAGCTGGAAATAGATCCTGATTTTCAGTTTCATTTGGCTTTCTTCTGACTCAGCGCTGTTGCTGTTGTCTAACGAGGCTTTTTCTAGCAAAGAATTTTTCTCAATTTCAGATTGATTCATTTTTTTGTTAACTTTCTCATTTTTCTCCATTTGCTTTTGTTGTTGCTGCCACAATACCTTATCCACTCCTAACATGCAACCAAGTTGTCGTTTATTTCGTTGAGATTCCAGGAAAAACTTGTCTTCTTTATTTACAATAAGCTCCATGGTTTCAGAATGTTCGATGTCAAACAATTCTACAACTGCAACTGAAAATGCAATTTCGTTTGCTTGCTGTGTTATGGTCTGGCTACTCTTGTTCTTTTTAAGGCCGTTCCACTCAGAATAATTGCTTAAGTTTTTTTATGGAATTCTGGCAATGTTTGATCAGAATTTTTGCTTGAAACCAAAAACTTTCCATTCTCTCAATAGCATGGTTTACTGCTTTTCTGACATCTTCTTTTAGAATATTATGCTGATAAAGAAAATTTCTAAGAACTTGCTTCTCTAATGGCAATTTACTACCTTCAATCCTCTCTGCAAGGCTAACGAGATAAGCTTGAGAACGTAAAACCATCTAAAAATGAAAAATTGTCTCAAAATTAGTTATTTGTTATTGTTGATAATCTAATAATTGTTAGTTTTTGTGGTAAGTTGTGGATAATGAATTCTGTCAAGGATTTGAACCCCCTTTCCCAACAGAGCTCGTCCCATGTATTTGGGGTTAAATAAGGTAAATAAACCCAACTGTATTCAAAAAACATGCCATAAGATTGAGTAGTAGTTGTAGAATTAGTTGATAAAACAAAATAAAAGATATTGTTATTTTCCCTCATTCTTAGTTTTTATACTTTATTGCAACACAAAATGCAATAAAAACTTTTTACATTTTACACAACAAAATTACAAATTCTTAATCTATAAAACACATTTTACATATTCACTATTTAATGATGTTCTCACAAATGTGAATTCTTCAGTAGTTTTAATGATGTTCTCACAAATGTGAATTCTTCAGTAGTTTTAATGATGTTCTCACAAATGTGAATTCTTCAGTAGTTTTAGAATATAAAAAAATTGTTATTGTTAAAATGTTGATCAAAACTCTAACAGAAAATACAAGATGGCTGCAAAAAATCTGTACAAGATTTTTAAATAATTTTGTAAGGTGCCCAAGATGTGTTAACAATAAATCACATAATTTACAAAAAAATATTTCAACAATTCATTTATCTAAACATTAAAAAACTATATTTATATTTACTATTAATATTATTATTATTAATATTATATTATACTTAAATATAAGTATAATATAATAATAATGTATAATACTTACTGACACAAAATATTTTTTTTTACTTATCGATTGAAATCTGTTTATTACATATATTAATTTTATTTATAGTTTGTTCCAAATGGCTTCGTTTTGTAAAAAAAAATTTCACTTTTGGGTTCTTTCGCGAAATTCACATATATGCCAATATTTTCACAAAACTAAAACTTTATTGAACCACCTCTAAATATTGATCAATCCTGCTCATATTTGGCCTGAATTATTTTTGTGTGTATTTTGGAACATATCTAAGCGTTCAGACAATGAAATTTTCACTCTTCAAAAAAAAAGGACCACCCTACTAATAATAGTTCGATATAAACATATAAACATTATAGTAACATATAGACATATCAACACAATTGCTATTTCAATAATAAATCAACTTGTAATATGCATATCTAAAGCCTTTATAGTCTAAAGAAAATTTTTTTCATAATTTTGTTTTTACATTTAGATAACTAGAAGATTATTTTAAAACTGCCATGCAGAGTCATGTAACAGAAGAATCCATGATTATAAATGAAAGTGCTATTGATGATACTCGGTTGCTAGAACTGACTCGAAATCCTTTTGACAGCAATTTGTATGAGCGAGACAATTTTCCAATTCTTGATTCTTCTGTATTTCAGATATCAGCAACACCTAAGCATGATTCGAATGGTGAATTTCGATGGTCTATTGATCAGATTGCTTTATTGAAACCTGCAGAAATGGACTTAAATCCAAATCAAGAATACAGCGTGGTGTATGTGTTATTAAAAAATTTCAAAAAGTTATTTTATCTCCATTGTGAATGTTACAATTTTTGTTTATTCAAGTTCATGGTTGGGGTCAAATAATTATTTGTATTTGGTAATAATAGGCTATATTGCCATATTTGTGTTTGATTAAAAACTTTCATAAATATTTGTATTTGCTTTTGCTTGAAATGTATTTGTAACTCCATAAACTAGGTTGACTAGTATGTGTTTTTTTTTTTGCAAAAAAAAAAAAATTATTTTCATTTTTAATACTAAATAGTTTTAAAAATTGTTTTTAAGTGATATTTATTAAAAGAATTCAATTATACCATTTTTCATTCTATTATAACACTTTATCAGTATTGTTTTGAATAAATCTTTTTTTTTTTTAACCAAAAATATAAATATTTGGATTTGGATTTGGAATATGTAGATTACATGTATTTGAATTTGTATTCGGTAGTCTAGAATTAATGTACTTGTATTTGACTCCAACCCTGATTAAAGTAAAATTATTATTTTTAAAATTTTCTGTTAACATTTATATTATATTGTTATTTTATTTGTTTACCAATACTATATTTGGAAATAATTTATTTAATAATAATTTGATTCTTTTTTGTTTGTATTTTGTTATATAACCAGGTACTCTACTCAAGAAGATGAAGAACAATCCCAACGTCAGGTTGATGAGTATTTTAAAAGTGCACTTCTTCCTTCACCATGGTTAGACAACCGAGCTAGTGTACTCAAGCGAGTGACATTTTCACCTGATTTTCCATCTGCACATTATTTAAACGGAGTTGTAAATCAAAAAATAAATAAACCAAATGCCAATGAAGAAGTTCAACTTGAAGAAACATTGCTTTCAGATGCTTGCTGTCAAACAGAATTGACTTTTTCAATGGATTTTGACCTTCAAATATTGGTTGGGAAAAAGTATTACTCCTACAGCGATGAGTCTGGAGAAGCAAGAGCACTTATGATATCATCTTTACGTCGAAAGCTGTTTGTTCAAGAAATAAAAACTCCTTTAAAATCCACATCAAAAGTTTGCAGTCCTTATGCTACACCCAGTTACACCACTTCTAGTCCAACAAAACAACCTCTTGATATCAGCTGTGCTCATAAAAATACATCCATTACTATTAGCGAGTCGTCTACTCCATCTATAAACTCATTTTCATCAGCAAGTTTACATAATGTATTTGAATCACCAGCTAAAGTTACTCCTCCACAGACTGTAGCAGTATGCACACCATTACGTCATTGTGGAGATATAACTTTGTCGAATGTTTCAATGTCGCCAATACGCTCAAGTGAAAAACAATCAAGTGATATTAGTGATTTTTCATATCTCCCTGATGTTAGTTTAGAATTTAATGTAAATGGTTCTGAGATTCGTGAATCCAGTCGTGCAGTTCAGTTTAAATATCAAGATATATCTCCTATAAAAAAAGAAATTGCTGTTGACCCAGGTATGTATATTTTTATGTCTTATTTCAGTTTAAGATATTTTTTGATCTACGTTTTCGTAAAAAATATTATTCAGCAACCGACACCTTGTCTATGCAAGAGAGCTGTCAAAGTGAATTTCAAGTTAGTTCTCAACAAAGCATAAAAGAATCCACAGCCAAGAACATGCATGCTTTTAAAGGATTTGATATTTCATCAATATCTGATTATTCTGCAAAATTATTACATCAAAAAGAAGCACAACAAGGTAAGAATAATTTGTGTGTGTTTTTGTGTGTGTGTATGTGTGTGTGTTTGTGTACGTTTATTTGGATAATTAATCGGTATAAATAAATTAAAAATGAGGCAGTTAATCAAATTTTTATTATATTTGCAAAAATGAGTTAAAAAACTTGATAATTTGAATGAAAGATATTATTTTATTCAGAGTTACCAAATAGTTTTTTATTTCTAGGATCTATTGATGTTACTGATATAACATCTAGTAATCTTTTCTCAATTGATGAAACTACCGATATGAGCATCAGTAAGTGTAGTGATGACGATGAACCAGAGGTTTTGCACATAACAGACCTTAGCCTTGATGAAAAACAAGTAACGGACGATTTGTCTCACTTATTGCCGAATTTTAGTGTGATTCAAGGTAACTCTAGTGAATATGTGAGTCCTAAAATTGTTACATTTGATAATCACGAGAGTATGACTACTCCTTTGAAAGGTATTCTTAAACATCGCGATATTACCACTCCTAAAAGAACAAACTTGAGAGATTTCGATTCATTAGATAGTACCCAGTATAATACTGTTTACAATAGTGGAAGCAGGAGAAAAGCTGCTGCAAATTTTTTGCGTACATCCTCGTCAATATTGCTTTCTAGTAATAACGATAAAACAACTTTACCGAAGCCAAAACTCAGTGACTTTAGTGAGTCACAAAGTGGGCCTGATACACCAATACGTGGTTATGAACATCGGTATAATGAAAATAAAGTTAGTATCAGCAGTGTAAATAGGCAATGTTTGCGTGATATCACGATTGATAACATAGATCGCTCTGCTCAAAACAGATATTTCAAAGATTACATAACTCCGATGGATTTCCCACTCAATGATGACATTGTTTGTTTGCGTGCTAATACTGCTTTGAAACGCGCTTATGAAGTATCTAATTCTCTTCATATTGAGGATAAAGAAAACTACTGTGCAATGAATTTTCAAAACAACATAAGATTGAGTAGTACAATACTTAGTTCAGACAGTCCGGAATTAAGATCCGAACGTTCGGTTATAAGATCTACCGGAAAAAATTATGCTTGTATTGATGGTTATCATGCTGATTTGTCAAGCAAACATATATCTGTTGAAAAAGAAAATAAAGTGGAATCGTCTGCAATTTCACCTTGCCTCAGCTTAGATACCTTAAGCATCAGTTCGAATTCAAAAAACCACAGTTCCGCTACAAAAAAAACTATGCGCGCAAGTTCGCAAAGAAGAATAAGTGGCTTAACACGAAATTATAGTTGGCCTTATAAATCGCGCGCAACCTCTCCTTTTTTTTCTGATGATTCAAGTATAGTTCAGCAGTCCGGAAATACACCACAAAGCAGCCGTATTTCAGGTAACCGCTCTAGAGTTTTACCAAAATATCGCGGGAGGTCGCCAAGTTTTCGCGGTGAAGAGCTATTTGATCCGATGAAATCTGCTTATAAAGATTTTTTACCTTCACCATTGAAATAAAAATTGAATTTAAGTATTTTTATAACTCATATCGTATTTAGTCGATTTCGTAGCAGTATTTAGTCGCGTTTCACCATTTAGAAAACCATAGTTACATTTTCTCCTGAGTTTGCACATGTTTTTTAAAATATAACTGTTCGATTATGATCTTTTTTTTTTTTAATAAAGACTATTTTATGAAACAATAATTTGTAAAATAAAAACAACAAAATCTTAGTTTTATTATAATATAATGAGCAACTCTCGTTTTTTTTAGGCGGTAGTAGTAAGGTTAACACGGATCCTTATAATGCCTACCTAGCTGTCCCAAGAACTCCACTTATACGAAAAGTTAGCGTACACATCAAGGTACCCTGTGATGCAAATTTTGAATTCATTTAATTTGATTTTCTCCACCAACAGATTATTAATAAATAGCTCAATGTGCTCTTTTAATACAAATACTCTATAATACTACTTTTAAAGATGGTGAAAATATTCATTATACGCCGTAAAATATGAATTTCAGCAGCCTAATTTCTAATAACTCAAATGATGTTCTTTAAAGATGCTTAGTGTTTAGATCAGTTATGCAGCGCAACAATCTTTCTTTGTACTCTGGATGGTTATTATTTCGCTTATACCTCAATCAATTTTGATAAAAATCTTGATGAGAAGTTTCGACAGTTTGTTCACTATAGGGCCCCAAGGGGGATCCTTTGTGACTGATGAAATTCTTGATGTGGTAGAAGACAACGTGAATTTTGGGTATGACGCTTGCACGAGTTATCATTAGGTAACACTTTTTGAAATTTTGAATTTTTTCAGCGAAATCCAGCTGAAGGATGTATCCAAAGCTAGCCTTGACAACTAAATTGAAGCTTTTAAATGCTTCAATTATGCACACAATATTGGGAACCATGTTTGTCTCAGCAAGTTGCTGCAGCATATCCACATTTTTAAGAAGCTTCCTGCATTCATTTTCTTCAAACTGGCCCCCGTGATACGGGCTCAGTTAAATGTGGAGGGCGGCTGGCCACTTAACAGCTTCTATCCAAGCAGTTTTAAGAATTTTGAAAAGATGGTTGACAAATCCGAGGAGATGCAATTCCATCGGTTGAGTGATTTTCAAAATCAGAACATTGACAGGCCCATAAATGATTGGCTTTTGAATAACATTGCCAAACAGCTTTGCATTAACAACAACCCCGCAAGATTGCTGAAAAGACTCAAGGCTTGAATTAATTGAGCCCAGTGTTCGCAAGTTTCCAAATTTGGCAAGACAATTGGATTTGACGTCACACCAGGTGCAAGGGTGCGTATTTGAATGAGTTTGAAGACCACAAATTATATTTGCAACTTTCATATCACAAGCCATAATTAGTTTAACTCCATTTGCATTAATCATTGACCAGATTTGTTTAATATTGGAGTGCGTTTCTGGCAAATCTTCTAAAACCCCAACAATAATTTGTCTTTTGACTCCAGTGTCTTTACCAATCCTTTGAGTGAGAGGTTGTTATTGGTGCGGTGAGCTGGTTTCATCCCTTAACGCAGTATCAACAATGCTTAGGCAAAACTTGAGAAAACCTTTGCCACCATCAATTCCAAAATTAACAAAATAGCCACCAGAAATTTTGCAGGACTGAATAATATGATTCACAAGACTTAAGAAATCATTGCAGTGAGCAAGAACATGAACTGTACAAAAATCTGTTTTTTCTTTTGTTATTTTTAAGTCGCTGCAGGTGTAAAAATCGCTCAATTGTTGACTTGTTCTTAGAAAATTTATGTAGAAATTTCACTCTACCATCTTGCTGCTTGATGTTTTGTTTATAGTTCTAACAAGTTTCTTTAATCCGTTGTTTGACAACGCCGTATTTAATTGCACATTTACAAGGGCTACAGTGGTCAATTTTGGAGCACTTGATGGTGTCTACCCACTACTTTGACCTAAAACCAAAACATACATATTTTATAGTTAAAATAAACTTTGTTTAGTGAGGTTGTATAAAACTTTCAAATTATTCGTTTTTAACAAAATTAGAAACGTGTCAAAAATATACTTTTTGAAATCTCTCTAGTGTTATTTCTTAATAATCAAGACTTCATTTCAATATGTATGTATGTTATTATTTAAGTATAAATATTTACCAGGGGTAACTGTAAGGTAACTGTAACCTTTTCCTAAAGAGCTGAGGCATTTGCTGCAAGGCACCTTTGGTTTTTTCTCAATAGTAGTTTGCTCTATAAGAGGATGTTTTTCTTGCATCTTTAAAATGAATGCAGGAAGCTTCTTAAAAATGTGGATATGCTGCAGCAACTTGCTGAGACAAACATGGTTCCTAATATTGTGTGCATAATTGAAGCATTCAAAAGCTTCAATTTAGTTGTCAAGGCTAGCTTTGGATACATCCTTCAGCTGGATTTCGCTGAAAAAATTCAAAATTTCAAAAAGTGTTACCTTATGATAACTGGTGCAAGCGTCATACCCAAAATTCACGTTGTCTTCTACCACATCAAGAATTTCATCAGTCACAAAGGATCCCCCTTGGGGCCCTATAGTGAACAAACTGTCGAAACTTCTCATCAAGATTTTTATCAATATTGGTGGAGGTAAAAGCGAAATAATAACCATCCATAGTACAAAGAAAGATTTTTGCGCTGCATAATTGATCTAAACACTAAGCATCTTTAAAGAACATCATTTGAGTTATTAGAAATTAGGCTGCTGAAATTCATATTTTACGGCGTATAATGAATATTTTCACCATCTTTAAAAGTAGTATTATAGAGTATTTGTATTAAAAGAGCACATTGAGATATTTATTAATAATCTGTTGGTGGAGAAAATCAAAAAAACATTTCTTAAAATGTAATTACATATTTGATGGTAATACAATGTAAAAAATAGGGTTTAAATAGTTTTCATTTTAAAAGTTAATGTATTTAAGGAGGTCAATAATAAATATTTTAGGAGATCTACTTTGTTTTTGTTTTACTAACTGGTAGTCCTTTGACCAGGTTTGGCACTTTTTTTTATAGCTTTATTTTTAACAGCAGTTTATACCTTAGGAAATGTTGGTATATTTAAGCGAAGCATACATAGCCGTCAACGCCGGGGAATCTAGGGGGTCATGCCCTTCTCTGTTTTTTTTTTGCGAGGACCTTTTGTTTTAGAAATATAGGCAATTATTTTAGAAATTATGGATTTTATTTTAGAAATTGAGGCGTTGACCCCCTCCACTTTGTAAGCCGTGTCGACACTATTAGCATAAGACTATTTAAATCACGCTTTAAGTAGAAAATCACTATTTTGGTCTATAAAATGAAAACTGTAAATAATTATAACAAAAAATAATTATAACAAAAATTATTGGTGTTACATAGTAAAACAATCATGTAACCGTTATTTTAAAAATAGTGACCAAAATTCAAAGTAATAGGGTACCGTTGCGTTTCTATAAATAGATTTTTGCAATGCTTTCTGGGATCGAAATGTGGACAAACATTGCACAGAAACAAAAGAATTTCTTAAAAACGCTAGTGGTTGTGGGATTGATATTTGGACAAACAAACAGTTTGACGTCACCAAAACGGTACCCTATTGGTAACGCTTTGAGGTATAAGTAGCAAAAAACTGACAAAACTTCAACTAAAACTGCAATAAATCCTACACCAGTTATTCAATCAGGCTGAAATTTTGTCCAGAGTTTGGTGTGACTATTAACTACATTTGCACCAATTTTTATCAAATTATATTGAGTGGTTCAAATTCTACAAGTGTTTTTATTGGGGCACTATGAAGTCAAAATTTGACTTAAAACATTCAAATTTAAATTATTTTCCGCGGACAAAATTAAATGATTTCAAAACTTGCATCACAGGGTACCTTGGTTTGTACGCTAACTTTCCGTATAAGTGGAGTTCTTGGGACAGCTAGGTAGGCATTATAAGGATCCGTGCTAACCGTGTACTAAATTCATCCTCTAATGAACAAGAAAAACTATTTTTTTTAAATCAAATAACTTAAAACAACCTCACCATTCACAAAGAGATCTTACACCACTGTTGATAATAAAAAAAAACAATAGCGAGAGAAAAGAGCCTAACCGGCTGGAAGCAAAGACCGTTCAATTTTGTTTCGATTATTTTTAGTAGCTTTACTTCACAAAGAAAACAAAAAAACTACATGTATTCAACAAATGCTAAATAAGCTTTTATTTGGAAATGGCTATTGAAACTGATAAAAACACATAACTTAGAAAAGGTTTTTAAAGAACGAGTTTAGGGAAACCTATCAAAAAGCTACTGAGCGTGTAATTACTGAAACTTAAAAACATGAGGGTATTGGAAAGTGTTTTGACAACTACCTTGCTATAAGTAAAATCAAACCAAGTTATAAAATAAAAGAAAAATTTTTTTGAAAAACTTTTATTACAAATTTTTTACTTTTTTTTTAAAGTTAAACATAAATAAAACAGTAATAACAGAAACAAAAACTCTCTTATTCGTAACAGTATTTAAAAAATCTTTAAATAAGTACTCAAAACAAAAAGTACTAAAAAAATTTTATAAGTTTTTTGTTTGCAGCAATAATGAAAAGTACTGATCTTAGCTTTAAAACACAAGTTGTTCCCAGCCGACACATCTAGTGTTGCAAATACTTAGAGTATTTTCACTCATTCACGGAGAGATAGAAAGAGAGAGAGAGAGAGAGAGAGAGAGAGAGAGTGTGTGTGTGTGTGTGTGAGAGAGAAAACGAGAGATTATTATTATTTTTTAACATTTTCACTTCCAGTAAGGCTGCAAGCAATCACTATTAGAGTTGGAAGTTAATGGAAGAAAAAAGATGATGTTTATAAAGTAAGATAATGATTAACAGAAAAGATGAAGAGATCGAATTTTAAAGAACTGATGTTCAAGGAAAAAACAAGACGAATAAGATGTTTTGCAGCATTTTGGAACAGTCACAGTAAATGGATGAGACTTAATTGAATGACGTGTAATACGCGAATGACTTTTAGTTGATGGCGCAAGTGACGCTAGCTTTTCAAAGCAGCGCCCATTATAGTATTTACAAAGATTGACTACAAAAGCAGGTCCATTTACGTTTAAAATGCATTATTGCACCTTGTTTAAAAGAAAAAGGACAACAATCAAAG